GTATCGGTTTGAAAAAATTGGTATCGTTGCATCCCTAATTCTGACCTCTCCCTCTCTAGAACTGTGTGAACTATAAATAAAGTACTTTCACATTATTACATTTAAATATAAGTGACCATGTATGCACACATTAGCATTAGCATGCCCTATTGCTATTTACTGAACAGAAATAAAATCCACAGCAAACACAGCACTGTGTCTCCGTGACTGATCACAGCAGTGTTTGAGTTCAGAAGGTTTGAACGCTTTCCTACAGTTGAGATGAGGCAAGCACTACCTGAGCGTAGGCTCGGCTCTCTGGGCCTGCTGCAGCTCCTGCTCGGGGTCTTTGAAGCCAGTGAAGGTGTAATAGCTTTTATCCCATTTGATGGTTCTGTAGAAAGGCTCCCCCGTCTCAGTGGGACTTTTACTTGCTGCTTTACTCGCCGTTAGTCCCTTCATGTGCTCCACAGGCAGGCTGCAGCTCGTCAAAACATCCATCACTGTGCTCAAAACATCATTTGTGTGCAAAGTAAAACTTACGGAGCGGAAGCCTGAGAAGCAAACAGGAGCGATTTTATGTTAAAACCCCCCCCAAAAAACCTCACTGGTGCTTTGAGCATTTTAAAAGAAATGCACCTGAGCTGATGAGTTCTGGCTGCACCTTACTGCTGTACTTTGTGTTCCTTATATAAAAGGTGAGCTTCATGGGTTGAACTGAACGTGAGCCGGGCTTCTGCAAGTTCTCCAGATAGCCATTCAGCCTCTTTAGCGAGTTTTCATTCACCTCCTGTAACACAGAGGTACCAGAGCTTACATCATGGCAGCTCATCCCAACAAACGTCTGACACAGTGTGTGCACAGATTATTATCATTAAATATTATTTTATATCACATCATATTACTTTATATTGTATACGGATCCCAGAGCACATAGATGATAAGTATTCTGTACACTATGGATTGCCTCTTCTTTGTTGTGCCTATAAGGCGTCACACAAATGTAAACCTGACAGTAAGTTTTCGAACTGTTACTTTACAATCACATGTTTCCAATAACACATATTTGGATTTATGTCATGACAGATATGAGACCTACCCGTTCTTTAGGATATTTACCGAAGAAGTCTGGGTGGACTGCAAAATAAAAGGGCCTGAGAGCATTTACAGCCTCTGCCCCTGACAGAGCTCTCTGTTGCACAGCATGTGTGGCAAAATGCTTCCACTGCAGCCTGCAGAGAAAAGGACAGACATTACAGAAATGAGACTATTTTACATCATTGAACCCTGCTCTCCAAAGCTGACATAGGCATAACTCCAGCTGCCTGCAACAATGGGCTTTTTGTTCAAACTGAGTATATACTGTCGTCCACTTTCACCGTGCACACAAGAAAAAACTCAGAGTTTTCTGATATTGTTATTATCTGCCATGGCTGATTTCTTTTTCAAAGTGTCCAGAGTCAGCAGAGACTGAGAAATCCACAGCCATAATGACACACCAGGACAAATTCAGCAGTGTGTGAAGAAGAGGAGGAGGAAGAGGAGCCAGCATCAGCTGGGAGATGAAGAATAGGACGAGAACCGACTGGGACTGGTGGGAACGTTTAAAACTATTTCTAGATACCTCTGCAAATACAGGAAACGAGTATCTCCAACACAAACTTTAACAGCTGCATACAGCGAGTCACACAAAGACTCACTGATGTTTATCCTGCAGGACAGGATGTGATAGGGGAGGACGGGAAAATAAAGGGAACCACAGACAACTTTGGTAATACTTTTGTTTTATCCAGAATATATTTAGTTAAGAATTGTTTTAATCAGAGTAGAATAGAATAGAATAGAATAGAATAATCCTTTAATTGTCTCACAAGGGGAAATTTGGTTGTAACAGCAGCAATAAAAACACATATACAAACAAACAGGACACCGAACAGAAACATTTTCTTACATATTTACATCATGGACAATAGTTACCAAAAACAGAGTACTGTACCGTTATTGAATTAAATAAAATTAAATATGAGTTGGTGGCGATTTGGATCAGGTGGCGAGGGAGGACACTGGACAGACCTGACGCGCCCAAACGTACAGTGAGGGTGTGCTGGGAACGTCTAGCAGAGGCCCGGTCTGCGAGATCTTCAACTCACACCTCCAGCAGAGCTTCAACGGCATTCCATGGGAGACTGGGGGCATTTGTCCGAGTGGACCATGTTCAGTATCTCCATTGCCGAAGCTGCTGCA